AGATCCCTTCCAACTCAAACCATTCTATGATATACTCCTGCGTACTCTTTGGTGATACAGAATGATCAAATACAAGTTCAGACTGATTGTATGTATTTGTAATAGAGTAAGGACAGATGCCTTAGTAGACATAAGGCAAACATTTTAAATTGAAAGAGGGTAGATTTAGAATTAATATAAGGAAGGAATTTTTTATGACAAGGGTGGTTGGACTAGATGATCTTTAAAGGTTCCTTGTGACCCCAACCATTCTTTGATGCTACGATTTTTATAAGCGATAGTATCCAGTCTCAATTCAAAGTCTGTAAATGCTTCCATTCTTGTCACAGTGAAATATATCACAATGTCAGTGATGTGACAAAAGCCATGAAGTCTGGCATCACAGTTTGCACATAAATAAAAGTAGACTCAAAAAACTAAGTACTGTTTGCTGAAGCAAGACTGAGCAAGCAACATCCATTTGTCATCCATGCAATTACTGTACAGGTCCAGAATTATTCAAAACAGAGCAACGTACAAATTCATTATAGCCAGATCAAAGCCAGGCTTCTTAAGCATCAGCTGCCAGAACATAATGCAGCTAGGAAAGTAACATAAGGGGACAGGAGGGGCATGGAGACTGGGAAGTCAACAAAAGCTTGTGCGTTCTTCTCACTACAAGTCCATGGAAACAACGCTTGGTACAGGACAAGTAGACTCATTGAGAAGGAATTTTCTGGCCTTGTCAAGCACAAATTTCAGACTTAAGAGAAATGATTCAGCAATCAAGCCACTACTTACTCCAGGCTGATCTGTGCTTAATGTAACAAGAGACAAAACAAACTAAACTGTCACAAAAACTTCAACCCTCCCTTACATCTACGAATAACCCAGCCACAGACTTTTATACTCCATCATCTACACTAAAAGGTCGTCAGTTTATTTCATCAAGACATTAACTCTCTGGACCCAGTCTAGATACGTTTAAAAGTTCATAATTTCTGCAATAATTTCTTTAATTTACTCTTAATAAATCAAATAACTACCATTAGTATACATGAAATAATCACCTTTTTTTTAAAAAAAAAAAAAAGGAAAAATCTAAAGCTGATTCACTTTACTTAGTGGGCACATATCAACTGAAAGATAAAGATGTAAAATTTTTACTAATGTTCCTTCTAGATGATCTTTTTATCTCAGGGTCAGACAAGCAGACATCCCCCAAAATCACATTACACAATGTCACATTTTCAAGCATTCATACAGGCATTCAGTAAAGAGAGAAGCAGAGGGAGTAAAAACATAACAGTAGTACTGCTGTGATAGAAGCTCACACTAAGATTTAGTGTCATTTTCACTGCGAAAGCTTAGTTTAGTTTCATGCATCTTTTCCAAATTTTAACTGTTAAAGACAAAACTTGCTACCCTTTCTGCCTGCCAATGGTTGAGCTACCTTGAAAAAATTCAGACTAAACAATCTGGTTGCTTGCAAGCATGAAGATAGCCATGGGGTTGTTTTGTTATGTTGAAATATAGTAAAAACAGCAAGAAATATTTTCTTCATTTTCTACAGAAGCCCATAGAGTTCTTAAAGAAGACATTGGCAAAGATAAGTGAAGAATGGAGCTGTAACATGCAAACAAACATGAGAAAGGCCTATATCAATTTGAAAAACATAGTACATGAGAAAAAAAGAGTGAAAGGATCTGGACACTCCACTCAAGAACCTACAATATAATTCATGTTGTCAAGTCGTAAAATTTCTCAATCATCAAATAACATAAATCAATGGGCAAAAACTCCCATCTACCTCTGAAAGAGTTCTTCATATAGAATTACAATACAAAGGACAACAGTGTATCATCGTCACAAATTACTCTTAGCTGAAATCAGTCTGATGGCTGACTGATCTAAGTTTCAGTCTTGTTTTTGACCTACATGCTGACTCACTCGCTCGTCACTGTGCTGCAAGTTACAGAACTGGAGAGAGGTGAATAGAGGGTGTGTTTAGCTTACAACTACAAAACCCATCAAAATCAAAACCAAAAACTTTTAAATTACCTTATAGTGTTCATAAAATCTACCAATCTAATGTTAGGAAATGCCACTTGCGGTCACTCTTGCAACCTGTGCGTTTGCATCATGCTACAATCTTCAACCACATAGAGGTGGTAGATCTCAGCAACTCCTCAACCAGAATCACAGCCACAGGAACCACCTTTTACCCTAACAGCTTGTGGTTAGGTGACAGCAGCCGCTGTTCAGCTAGCTCTTTCTTTGCTCTGAGAGATCAGGGGAGAGGGCTTCTGGTTGTCTTAATGATGTTTACTGTGTCATCTTCTATTTCCTGTGACAGAAAAGGTAGTGGGCCAGACAGAAGCACCCCGTTGGTTTTATCAAAGGCTGTGCACCATATGCTGGATATCCTTTTTTCCCCCCCAAGATCATTTTCTTCTTCAGTAGCACATGATGATGAACGTACTCTGACTATGAAAAAGCTTTGTAACAGTACTATATGCGGAACTCCAGCCGCAGTTGCCTCACTTTGCTGTTGCATAGTAAAGACAATTCATGTGAAGTGAAGCATGCCATTAAAATTTCATTTTCTGTGCCTTTGGAACTGGAGGAATGCAAGCTTTCAGTATGCCTTGCACACATGAAATACTGCTAAATATTCCGGAAAAAAAGGTCAGATCCCACAGCTCTTAATTTGGGAACTAGCATTGGTAGAGTCTTTTTATCTAAATTTCTCTCTGTATCTGTTCCTCCAAGTGAACGGGAGATAATACCTTCTGTTTGCCTTATTACAGAAGTTTCCAACAGAACACTTATTAGTAGTTCTAATTATTCAGATTACTAATCATAAATGGCACAAAAGAACTGCAAGATAATAGCTTTGTTTTCCAAACATGAATTAAAAGGCTCACAATAAATAAGGTTCAGTGCCACACACTGAGTAGCAAAGAAAGACAAAACTATTTGAAGTACCAACAACGAATGACCACTAAAGAAGGAATGGGTCCTATAGAAAAACTAGTATGTGATCATGTTTCACAATGCACGCCCACAAAAGAGCCAATTAAAACTATACACACTACATACATCTTGGCACTTCCTAACCGCTTGACTCACTTTATTTTACAAACTCAATATTCAGTTGTGGCGTTTTGAATGGAATTGACGTATAACATACCATTGCTTGTATACCTTTTCAATACCAGATTTTTCAGGAGTGAGATTTAGTATGAATGATACATAAAATGCTTTATGTCTTTCTGGAAAGTAAAATAATAATCCTGCAGGAGGACTTCGTCTAAACTCAAGCTTTTGCAAAAACACATGCAAGTTTAAAGGCAAGCAGGTGTGGTGCTACTGAAAGAAAGCAGCATAGGCACACGTGCGCAGCCTGCACAAAGAACTGCTTAATGACAGGGACACAGGACTGTCCTCAGTCACTTAAGGTGAATGTTAACGTTATTATTTAGGCTTACTTATGGCACTGAGAAAACCTGATGACAGAGGTGCGAGGAACTGACAAAATGGTCTCCTAGACAGTAAAGTTTCCTTTTGTAGGCAATTAACAACTCAGCAGGAGTGAATATGCAGGCAGCTATAGTAGTGTATCAATAACCCTATATAATGAGTCATAGTAAACATAAATAACATATGCAATTCAAACTGATGAGCAACAATTCAGGTGATTAAAGGCTACACCTAAATAGAAGTTTGACCAGGATACCACTAACACGTAGATACCTACAGAAGGTATTATGAGGTTTTCAGTGACTGCAGGTGGACAAGACCTTCAGGATATACTGTATCCAAAGAGTGTACCTTTCCATGGCACGCTGTATCCTAGTATAATGCTGGGGTCACTGGTCATTACAGACTAATAAGAGGGGTCTTGGTTATAGAAGCTTGAGGTTTATGCTACATTCTGCAGCCAGATGCGCGAAAAACCATAGACTTCTACAAAACTGACCATCATGTCATGGATCCTTAACACAGGAATGACATATTCACATATATTTTGTTTACAGATTTTTGGGCAGTATACAAGATACATCAGCAATACGATGATTTGAAAAAGCAATCAATCATTTAATTGAAGTCAGAAACATTATTTATCATAATAAATATTATTAGAAAAATCACATTATTTGAGTGTTTTCAGTGTATTTTATTCTTAAGGACATGAAAGGACCTGGAAATGCAGAAATCTTGCTTAATTTGTATCCTAAATTTCTACACAGAGGAAACTCTTCTATACTAAAACAGGTACATGTTTCCTTTCATCTGAGTATTATTTTGGGCTAAAACAATCCAAATAACCCATAACATGTCTTACCTAATAATTCATACAAAGAATTCAGAATAGATTTCCATGCCTCTCCAGCTTCCTTCCCAGCTACGTCTGCAAAATGAGCTGCACTGCTGTATACATTCAAGCGATCAATACATTCAAGAACAAGGTTGATCATACCCTAAAAATGGAAAGGCTCAGATTGTCAGAGAAAAAAAAAAGTATTGTTTAGGTGCAAACACATAAGATTTTCAGAAATTTAAGAAACCAAAACATGAAAGGCAGGATATGCAATGCACAAGAATATATACATGGAAGTCAGACAAGCGGAGTCAAACAGGCCATCCGTATCGAAAAGTTTTCTTTGACTTTGATAATAAAAATTTACCACTTAAGATGGTCAAAATAATACAAAAAATAAATCGTATTCCAGACATAATTTTAGGCAAGTTTCTATTCTGGAAGGCATTTAGGCCTCTGACTAAGTATAGGCAACTATCACTACCAGAGAAATAACAGGCAATATTAAACAAAATATTTAAAGCATGCTTATTAAAAAAAATCCTTCTGCATCAAGCGATTAAACTGTAACAGAAGAAACTAATTCACAGGTAAGGAGTAAATTATGGTTAGAATTCAGGGCACAAGGTCATATTAATATCTGGGTTTTTTTTAAAAAAGGAAGTGAGGCCTTAAATGTATTTCTTTAAATATACAGGAAAATCAACAGTTCTAAAGAGATTATAAACATAACAAATAGTGTTACTCTTACAGGACAAAAAAAAGTCACTGCAAACATACTCCAGATTAGACATCAACGCTACAGACACTGCAAAAGAATGCTTGCAAACAACACGGTGGAAAATTAGGAGCAAAACTGAGAGAAGTACCTCTTCCTGGAAGAGGTTCTGGCGATTCTTCAGTGCTCGGAGCCTGTTTTGTTTGTCTTCATGCTCCAAATGTTCATCAGGGGGGTGAAAGTAGCCAATCAAGTCCTGAAGGCTCAGGCTGACTGACTCGATAGGCAAATCGACAGTGGAAGACTTCACTTTCTTGCTGAGAGCATCAAGGCCCCTACAAGAAGATGCAAAGTTCCCTGAGTATTGGAAATTAATTTATTTTATCATTTAAACCTTTTATTGCTTTAAAAGCAAAGTTTGTTTAGATGCCAAAGCTGAATTCATTTTCTGACAGCTACATAACTTCTCAAAAATTATTTATGTCAGCGCCATTCTCCACTTAATGATCCATCCCTCCCTTCGTAAACATAAACTGGAAGTATCAAAAATGTTGTTTCTCTTTATTTTTTTTGAAATCCAGAAAACACATTTTTAATATTCTACCTACCCATTTAGCAGTATCAGAGGCAGACTAAACATGAAGAGAAGTTACTGTAAACCCGTTCAAAGCATCATGAGGCTGGAATGGACAGAAGTCAAAGAAGTGCCGAAGAGGGCCCAGCGAGTCCATACAGGCTCTCGAGCATATTTCTAACCTGTTCTTAAGCCATCTTCAGTGCTGGAAGATGCAGGTCTTCCACACACTGTCCCGGCACTTCATTAGCCTTTCTGTTTCCCTGATACACAATTCAAGCTCAGCCTTTCTGTAGTCTGTGAGCATCGTCTCCTAGAAGCGAAGGGCAGACTGTTCTCATCTGTGTTGCACCTGCCCCTTGCTTACCTGAATCCCCAACAAACCCCATAATCCAGCACCTCAGCGCTGTGCTTTCCAGACCCCTGATATACCTTCCTCTTCCATTTAAACCTATCTTTCTTGAAATGCAGCTGTTGCAGCGAAGACCTCACCAGCACCATGCAGCACAGTGGAAGGTGACGGCTTTCCTTGCACCTCCCTGGCTCCCTCCGGAAGGCGGTGGTGGGCAGGGCTGCGAACACAGGGTTCTGAAGGCCTGCAAACATTAGTGCCCATCCTCAGGGACGAGGGAAAGATCTGGAGGATCTTGAAACTCTGCAGGACCCAGCCAGGGCCCCGAAGTGCTGGGAGGGGAGCAGCCCGGAAGGGAAAGGCCCACCCAGTTTTGCATGCACTGTGGGAGAGTGGGAGGAGGGGGCTTATTTGACCCTCATTATTTCTCTTTTGACTCAAAGAGAATATTTTTTGAGAATTTTTTTGACTTGTTTTTGAGAATACTTTTTTCTCAATTCTGCCATTGTAAAAAGGGGGGTTTTGCTACCATATTTTTGAGTAAAACCCAGCTAATGTAGCAAAGAGGTCCTTTTTGTTTTCACTGGAGCTCTACTTGTGCTGATCTAAAGGCCATCGAGCTGCAGCTGGTGGAGGAGCCCACCATGTCCCCACAGACACCCTCCCAGCCCCATGCTCATCTCCCTCTTTCCTTTCACTACAGGCACCAAAGGTCCCCGGCAATCTGAGCCACAACCGGCCTCGCCAATCCTCTCTCCCAAGCTGCACAGTGCCCTGCTCACTCCCAAGATTCCTCTCCAGGCCACGAAATGGGGTTTCTGCTCCATGCTGTGCTTTTTGCTGGATTAAGACAACACTGATAAGTATTTGTTTTTTAACTGGCATGTCACTCTGTACTTTCATCTCAAATGGTGAGCTAGGACTGGAAAAATTATAAAGTTAGGAAACATTATGAATTCAGTAGGAATGTTTGCTGCTGAATAACAATCTCTTAGAATAAATAACACAATGGTTCCAAAAGATAACTAAAAAAGTTGTCTTTAAAACTTACTTTTTACTGTGACCATGTGTTCTGAGGTGCAATTTTTCTACTGACTTCATGGAAAGAACTGGGACACATACAAGAATAATTTTGATCCTCTCCAATTCAGCTTTTTCTACTTGGAGTAACATCATGCCAAAACTAAATTGTTAAACACTACCTTGGACTCCCTGTGCACTCTGCAAAAATTTCCACTGTAATTTAGCAGTACCTTGATTTGTGAAACCTTATCATTAAATTGCCTTTCTCTGTCTTTATCTTTTATGGCATTCTTGGAATCACAGAATGGTTTGGGTTGGAAGGGACCTTAAAGATCATCTAGTTCCAACCACCCTGCTGTGGGCAGGGACACCCTCCATTAGACCAAGTTGCCCAAAGCCCCATCCAACCTGGCCTTGAACACTGCCAGGGAGGGGGCAGACACAGCTGCTCTGGGCAACCTGGTCCAGTGCCTCACCACCCTCACAGGGAAGAAGTTCTTCCTAATATCTAATCTAAATCTACCCTCCTTCAGCTTAAAGCCATTACCCCTTGTCCTGTCACTCCATGCCCTTGTAAACAGTTTCTCTCCAGCTTTCCTGTAGGCCCCTTCAGGTACTGGAAGGCTGCTATAAGGTCTCCCCGGAGCCTTCTCTTCTCCAGGCTGAACAGCCCCAACTGTCTCATCCTGTCTTCATAGGAGAGGTGCTCCAGCCCTTCAATCATCTTTCTGGCCCTCCTCTGGACTCGCTCCAACAGCTTCATGTCCTTCTTATGTTGGACACAGTACCCCAGGTGGAGTCTCACAAGAGTGGAGCAGAGGGGCAGAATCCCCTCCCTCGACCTGCTGGTCACACCTCTTTTGATGCAGCCCAGGATACAGTTGGCTTTTTGGACTGCAAGCGCACATTGCTCGCTCATGTTGAGCTTCTTGTGCACCAACACCCCCAAGTCTTTCTCCTCAGGGCTGCTCTCAATGCATTCTCCGCCCAGCCTGTATCTGTGCTTAGGGTTGCTCTGACCCATGTGCAGGACCTTGCACTTGGCCTTGCTGAACTTCATGAGATTTGCACAGGCCCATCTCTCAAGCCTGTTAAGGTCCCTCTTAAAAGCTTCTAAGAAAATGTATTATTTACAAAGTGACCTAGGGCTTGCATTTGTTTTGTATTTTAAATGTCATACAGTATGCAATTCTCCTGACTGGCGTATTTCTCTGCCTTTATTTAAGTATCTAGGTAAAGGTTTTTCAACAAATTGACATCTCTATGTCTTTGGCTGTGCACTGATTTAGGACACGGTTGCTTCAGGTCACCATGTCCCATGTTGTCTTCTCTTGTGACAAATGAGTTCCTATTAAATTCTTATCATTCCATATAGTCTTATTGCATATCTTCCTTTTTCTAATGCCAGCTACACTGACGAGAGCGGCCTTTCATCAATTACTGAAGTCACAAACATTTGAGAATTAGCCTTTTATCAGTGTTATTTAGAAGGACATTTGGAGTAGGAAGATAAATGCCAGTTGCATAAATCTGCCAGTAATTTTAAATGGCTAAATACTATTAAAAAACATTTTATATGTTGCAAAATATTAAAGAAAGAAGAAGCATTAAAAGGGAAAAAATAAGGAAAGTGTAAGGGAAGGACAGAAAGAAGGTGTAATTTCACACTTTTAAGAAAAAAAATTTTCTTGAGACTATGAACTTCTCCAGTATATTTGCATCTTGTACAACTTTGTAGTTACACAGTTATCTCCTTTTTCCAGGTTTTTCAAGGAAAAGCAGTTTTAAAAGCCATACTTAGAAAAGAAAGAGCTAAATGATGTACCACATGACTGACTTACAGCAAATTTTGGCAAGGAAAAAGTTTCTCTTTTATAGTTGGTTTGCATTTTCAGTATGTTTATGCATTCAAATCAAGGTTGAACAACAAAGTAATATTAGAAGATAGAGGAAAGAAACTGACCGATACCTCTCAAGGTACATCTCTGCTGATAACACACAAAGAATTGGCATAAAGTCTGGTTTGAAAAGTATTAATCTGGTTTTTTTTCTGAGGGCTAAATTGTTCACTGTTGTGTTAATGGCCACTTTGAATAAAATAGAACAGGAAAAAAAAGGGATTTGTCATTTCAAAAGCACACCTTATAAATCTATTGAAAAGGAAGACTGTACTACGGATGACACGTGCTGTACGGGACTCTTCATTCTGAGATCTGGACAATGTTAAACCATCATCCATGTGACCTTCATGGTGCATTATTGCCTGCAATACAAAAATAAAAAGCAGTCACTGCAAAATGAAACATTATTCACATATAAGAAGTTTGAAAATTCACATAGTAAGGCAGGCTAGGAAATGCTGAAGTCACATAAAAAAAAAAAAAAAAAGAATTTAATTAAAACCAGATAATCCCATGTTTTACTTCCTCATGTCCAAGGACACACTTGTACTGAGCCAGCAGGTTCAGTGCCATAATAACCTCAAAGCCACAACTTCTGTAAACAATATACTTAATTTTTAAAAAATAAAATTCAAAAGCCTATGGGTTTTTGTTTGTTGTTGCTTTTCGTAGACCTTAAAAGTAGTTCCCTTACACAGCAACAGATCCCTCAAGTACAGACAAGGTCAAAACAGGTATTCTTTACTGGTCCTGATTTCCAAGGATGTTACTAGTTTTTTCTGACTATGCCTTGAGTCACTACCAATAGCTTAGTTTTTCATGCTTTGTTATCATGGCTCTGAAGGTATTCAATCCAATCTACGTAAATATTTTAAACTATTTTAGATTTTTTTTT